ACACACACACACACACACACACACACACACACACACACCCACACACACACACACACACACACACACACACACACACACACACAACACACACACACACACACACACACACACACACACACACACACACACACACACACACACACCACACACACACACACACACACACACACACACACACACACACACACACACACACACACACACACACACACACACACACACACACACACACACACACACACACACACACACACACACACACACAACATCGACACACACACACACACACACACAGCACACACACACACACACACACCTTGGCTGTTGCTCCCTGAGAGCTGCAGGGTCTCTGCAGGAGGTCGAGTCGGGGGGGCACCGGAGGCAGCTGAGACACTGGAGAGGGGGGGCGCTCCACCTGCAAACACACACACACATTTAGAGGTGTTATATGGTTAAATGTCAACACAGCAGCTAGATGACCAGACAAGGTGATTATAATCAACATTAGTGTGTGTGTGTGTGTGTGTGTGTGTCTCTTTGTGTGTCTCTGTGTGTGTGTGTGTGTGTGTGTGTATGACTGTGTGTCTCTTTGTGTGTCTCTGTGTGTGTGTATGAGTGTGTGAATGTGTGTGTGTGAATGTGTGTGTGTTGTCCTCCCACCTTGCTGCAGGCCAGCCTGCTCATGAGGAGATGTTCGTCCAATCGGTCGTCTTCTTCCTCCTCATTGGTCGCTGCCTCCGCTCTGCTGGACCCCTGGAAACCAGCGAAGGAAACCCCGCCAGACTTCGGGTGGAAGGGGTCGACCACGATGGGCTCCGTTCCTTTGATCTCACAGCGACAGAACGGACAGCCCTGACCCTCCGACTCCTGAAACACACACAGGAAGTAGTTAGTATTAATAATAATCCATTCCTTGCTAAATGAATGGATTCTGATATCCTGCTTATATTTTCTTTCTGTACATTTGTATTTTCCACATACAAAAACTCACCTCTTCAAACTGCCTTTAAATGTGCGATTTTAATGTGACTTTTATGTATTTGTTTGACCTCTCTGTCAAGCCACTTTGAGCACCTGTAAAAGCGCTTACAAAATAAATGTATTATTACATGTATATGTTTTACTTTATTAATGCCATCTTATTTCTCTTTGAGACGTTTACATCTTGGATTGTTTATTTCTAGTCTTTTCATTTCTCTAATGTTCAATCTCTCTTTTTATGCTGCAACGCAAACATTTCCCAAATTAGGATCAATAAAGTACTTCTCTTACCTTAAGGGGTTAGTAGTGTGTGTGATACAGTGTGTGCGATACTGTTGTGTGTGTGTGTGTGTGTGTGTGTGTGTGTGTGTGTGTGTGTGTGTGTGTGTGATACAGTGTGTGATACAGTGTGTGTCTGAGTGTGTGTGTGATACTGTGTGTGTGTGTGTGTGTGGGATACTGTGTGTGTGTGTGTGTGTGTGTGTGTGTGTGTGTGTGTGTGTGTGTGTGATACTGTGTGTGATACTGTGTGTGTGTGTGTGTGTGAGATACAGTGTGTGTGTGTGATAGTGTGTGTGATACTGTGTGTGTGTGTGTGATACTGTGTGTGTGTGTGGGATACTGTGTGTGTGCGATACAGTGTGTGTGTGTGTGTGTGTGTGTATGTATAGGTGTGTAGGTAGGTGTGTGTGTGTGATACTGTGTGTGTCTGAGTGTGTGTGATTGTGTGTGTGATACAGTGTGTGATACAGTGTGTGTCTGAGTGTGTGTGTGATACAGTGTGTGTGTGTGTGATACAGTGTGTGTGTGTGTGTGTGTGTGAGATACAGTGTGTGTGTGTGTGTGATACAGTGTGTGTCTGAGTGTGTGTGTGATACAGTGTGTGTGTGTGTGATACAGTGTGTGTGTGTGTGTGTGTGAGATACAGTGTGTGTGTGTGTGTGATACTGTGTGTGTGTGATACAGTGTGTGTGTGTGTGTGATACAGTGTGTGTGTGTGTGTGTGTGTGTGTGTGTGATACAGTGTGTGTGTAGGTGTGTGTGTGATACAGTGTGTGTGTGTAGGTGTGTGTGTGATACTGTGTGTGTGTGTGTGTGATACTGTGTGTGGGTGTGATACTGTGTGTGTGTGTGATACTGTGTGTGTGTGTTACTGTGTGTGTGTGTGTGTGTGTGTCAGCGGCGCCAGATTCATTTCAGAAGTGGGGGGGGCCAAAAAGTGCGTGTGTATGTGACATAGCCTACTTGCCAACCCTCACGATTTTCGCGGGAGACTCCCGTTTTCCTCCCGGGGTCATATTTATCCCGATTTCTGACTAAATCTGATTTGTTTCATTCTAACATAACGCACCAAATGTTACTGTTTCCACTCGGACTTCAATACAGCTACACCATTGTTTGGTTTCCATGGTAACGTGTCTCTTTAGTAGCGCGAGCAAATGAAAGTCTGAGAGGGTCTTCAGGAGGAAGATAGTCAGAGAAAACAGAACAAGAATGGACAACTCGACCCTCTGCTCACTCCTTTCCTGTACATTAAACTATACAGACCAGCCCACACATGACAGCGCAGTTGCTCATTCCATCTCTTCTTGTTTCCCGCTACGCTCTTGTTTGACAAGCTGAATGTTGACTGGTGTTTGACTGAAGTCAGCTCTGTGAAAAGTTCCAGTTATTAACTCGGTATTTACAAAGCTGTCATCTCCACATTTGGAGAAAGTTACAAGCCGTTTGACAGCATCACATCTGCATATTTCACAGAAGGCTCGTTTAGTGGTTTTGCAAATAATTAACCACTCTCTGTTTTTGTACCATTCTGCATTGAAGTACCTTCTCTTTGCCCAAATAAGCTTTTATTGGCCCGTCACAATGTCCCGACAACAAACCTCCATGCAGTCGGAACCAGCCTGTTTCGGTTCAACGATGCCGGCGGCGGCGGTTTTGACAGCCTCTGCGGCCGCAGAGCTGCTGCTGGGGTTCATCTGGCTGCGCTGGTTCTATGGTTGAAGGACCAGGCTCTGGAGTTGGTTCTATGGTTGAAGGACCAGGCTCCGGAGCTGGTTCTATGGTTGAAGGACCAGGCTCTGGAGCTGGTTCTATGGTTGAAGGACCAGGCTCCGGAGTTGGTTCTATGGTTGAAGGACCAGGCTCCGGAGCTGGTTCTATGGTTGAAGGACCAGGCTCCGGAGCTGGTTCTATGGTTGAAGGACCAGGCTCCGGAGCTGGTTCTATGGTTGAAGGACCAGGCTCCGGAGTTGGTTCTATGGTTGAAGGACCAGGCTCTGGAGCTGGTTCTATGGTTGAAGGACCAGGCTCCGGAGCTGGCTCTATGGTTGAAGGACCAGGCTCCGGAGCTGGCTCTATGGTTGAAGGACCAGGCTCCGGAGCTGGTTCTATGGTTGAAGGACCAGGCTCTGGAGCTGGTTCTATGGTTGAAGGACCAGGCTCCGGAGTTGGTTCTATGGTTGAAGGACCAGGCTCCGGAGTTGGTTCTATGGTTGAAGGACCAGGCTCCGGAGTTGGTTCTATGGTTGAAGGACCAGGCTCCGGAGTTGGTTCTATGGTTGAAGGACCAGGCTCCGGAGCTGGTTCTATGGTTGAAGGACCAGGCTCCGGAGTTGGTTCTATGGTTGAAGGACCAGGCTCCGGAGTTGGTTCTATGGTTGAAGGACCAGGCTCTGGAGTTGGTTCTATGGTTGAAGGACCAGGCTCTGGAGCTGGTTCTATGGTTGAAGGACCAGGCTCTGGAGCTGGCTCTATGGTTGAAGGTCCAGGCTCTGGAGTTGGTTCTATGGTTGAAGGACCAGGCTCTGGAGCTGGTTCTATGGTTGAAGGACCAGGCTCTGGAGCTGGCTCTATGGTTGAAGGTCCAGGCTCTGGAGTTGGTTCTATGGTTGAAGGACCAGGCTCTGGAGCTAGTTCTATGGTTGAAGGACCAGGCTCTGGAGCTGGCTCTATGGTTGAAGGACCAGGCTCCGGAGCTGGCTCTATGGTTGAAGGACCAGGCTCCGGAGCTGGTTCTATGGTTGAAGGACCAGGCTCCGGAGGTGGTTCTGTGGTTGAAGGACCAGGCTCCGGAGTTGTGGATGTCAGGGATGTGACATTCAAGTTGTTGAATTTCAGCTTAGTTTGACTGTATTTTGTTTTCTTATGCGCCGGTTCTTCTGACATGTTTGCAAGTTTATCTATCTAGGTTAACGGCTGACACACACTGAACAACGTAACACATAACGTAAACAACGTAACAAATAAACACATCTAAGCTTTGTTATTGGTTGTAATGTACATGGATACATTTGAATGGTGTGACAATGTCCTATTTGATTGGATTAAAATGTACATATTCTTCCTGTTATGTCTGCCTGCTGTATTTTACCTAATGCAAAGTGACCTGCTCCATCGAAATCAGTCGCATTGATCCGAAGACACATTTTGAGTTGTATACACTGTTGGAAAGAGGAGATTCCTAGCTTTCTAATGATATCAGGATTGTTTTTGTACTATATTAAGCAAAATATGTCACATTATATAATGACTGTCACCGAGTCATCATTTTGAGAAAAAGGCCTTAAAGTTTCCTCTTCTCTGGATCGATCTGATTGATTATTAGCGGAGCAAATGATCAAAGTAGTACGGAGGGAAGATATTTTCGTTTGGATTACTGGTCTGGGGGAAGCTCGAGAGTGTGTGAGTGTGTACCACGTGTGTGTTTGTGTATTTTTGCGTTTGTTTCCCGGGGAAAACTTTCAGGAGAAACCCCGGCTGTTGTTACGCCTGCTGTGACGTTAAGTTACTCCGTTCTCCGCTTGTAATTATGCCGAAGCTTCAAAGCTGTATTTATCATCTGAATTTGCCGAAACAAGTTTAATATTCTGAAAGCCAAGACTTTGTTTGTTTGAAATCAGATGAAAACAAACTGTAACGGACCCTGCGGTGTTATCTATGATTACTATGCCTTACATTCATAATGTCAGTGGAGGGAGGGGGAGCGGCGCTGTGGAAGAGCAGAGTGGTGAGTGAGAGGCCAGCTGTGTTCTTCCCTTTACAAGCTTCAAAAATGCCTGTAGCTAATGAGAGTGAATATAACAATCAACAATAACAAAATATACACAGCTAGATCAGATGGCGTTCTTTTTAGATGCGACTTTAGAGTAGAGGGGAATTATTGAAACGGGATGTGTTCAGGGTTCCGCGGCATCCGCTGCTGCGAAAATGTGGGGCAGGGCCGTAAAGTGGGGGGGGCCAATGGCCCCCCCGCTTCCGGCGCCCTTGGTGTGTGTGTGTGTGTGTGTGTGTGTGTGTGTGTGTGTGTGTGTGTGTGTGTGTGTGTGTGTGTGTGTGTGTGTGTGTGTGTGTGTGTGTGTGTGTGAGATTGTCATTGATATATTTCAGAGGTGGGAAGTAGTGGAGTACAAATACTTCGTTACTGTACTTAAGTACATTTTTCTGGTATCAGTACTTTACTCCACTACTTATTTTTCTGACCACTTTTTACTTTGACTTCTTACATGTTGAACACAAATACCTGTACTTTCTACTTCTTACATGTTGAACTCAAATACCTGTACTTTCTACTTCTTACATGTTGAACTCAAATACCTGTACTTTCTACTTCTTACATGTTGAACACAAATACCTGTACTTTCTACTTCTTACATGTTGAACACAAATACCTGTACTTTCTACTTCTCACATGTTGAACTCAAATACCTGTACTTTCTACTTCTTACATGTTGAACACAAATACCTGTACTTTCTACTTCTTACATGTTGAACACAAATACCTGTACTTTCTACTTCTTACATGTTGAACTCAAATACCTGTACTTTCTACTTCTTACATGTTGAACTCAAATACCTGTACTTTCTACTTCTTACATGTTGAACTCAAATACCTGTACTTTCTACTTCTCACATGTTGAACTCAAATACCTGTACTTTCTACTTCTCACATGTTGAACACAAATACCTGTACTTTCTACTTCTTACATGTTGAACACAAATACCTGTACTTTCTACTTCTTACATGTTGAACACAAATACCTGTACTTTCTACTTCTCACATGTTGAACTCAAATACCTGTACTTTCTACTTCTTACATGTTGAACTCAAATACCTGTACTTTCTACTTCTTACATGTTGAACACAAATACCTGTACTTTCTACTTCTCACATGTTGAACACAAATACCTGTACTTTCTACTTCTTACATGTTGAACTCAAATACCTGTACTTTCTACTTCTCACATGTTGAACTCAAATACCTGTACTTTCTACTTCTTACATGTTGAACTCAAATACCTGTACTTTCTACTTCTTACATGTTGAACACAAATACCTGTACTTTCTACTTCTCACATGTTGAACTCAAATACCTGTACTTTCTACTTCTTACATGTTGAACTCAAATACCTGTACTTTCTACTTCTTACATGTTGAACACAAATACCTGTACTTTCTACTTCTCACATGTTGAACTCAAATACCTGTACTTTCTACTTCTCACATGTTGAACTCAAATACCTGTACTTTCTACTTCTTACATGTTGAACTCAAATACCTGTACTTTCTACTTCTTACATGTTGAACACAAATACCTGTACTTTCTACTTCTTACATGTTGAACACAAATACCTGTACTTTCTACTTCTTACATGTTGAACACAAATACCTGTACTTTCTACTTCTTACATGTTGAACACAAATACCTGTACTTTCTACTTCTTACATGTTGAACTCAAATACCTGTACTTTCTACTTCTTACATGTTGAACACAAATACCTGTACTTTCTACTTCTTACATGTTGAACACAAATACCTGTACTTTCTACTTCTTACATGTTGAACTCAAATACCTGTACTTTCTACTTCTCTCATGTTGAACTCAAATACCTGTACTTTCTACTTCTCTCATGTTGAACTCAAATACCTGTACTTTCTACTTCTTACATGTTGAACTCAAATACCTGTACTTTCTACTTCTCTCATGTTGAACTCAAATACCTGTACTTTCTACTTCTTACATGTTGAACTCAAATACCTGTACTTTCTACTTCTTACATGTTGAACACAAATACCTGTACTTTCTACTTCTTACATGTTGAACTCAAATACCTGTACTTTCTACTTCTCACATGTTGAACACAAATACCTGTACTTTCTACTTCTTACATGTTGAACACAAATACCTGTACTTTCTACTTCTTACATGTTGAACACAAATACCTGTACTTTCTACTTCTTACATGTTGAACTCAAATACCTGTACTTTCTACTTCTCACATGTTGAACACAAATACCTGTACTTTCTACTTCTTACATGTTGAACTCAAATACCTGTACTTTCTACTTCTCACATGTTGAACTCAAATACCTGTACTTTCTACTTCTTACATGTTGAACACAAATACCTGTACTTTCTACTTCTTACATGTTGAACACAAATACCTGTACTTTCTACTTCTTACATGTTGAACTCAAATACCTGTACTTTCTACTTCTTACATGTTGAACTCAAATACTTGTACTTTCTACTTCTCTCATTTTCCAAACAGCTGGTTCCTTTAGTCTGAATGTGTGTTTGATGCGTGATCATTATTCTTTAGAGTCATTGCGTGCCTATTGATTTGAACACGATCCGTGTATCCATCATTTCCTGGTCTTCTCTAAAGAAGAGGGACCAATGGAAACGTTGTCATGTTGCCGTTGTTCAGCATGGAAACATTCATTAGCTAACAATGACATTATTGTTCTATTAATATAAAGGGAGGTCAGGTACTCTTTAAAACACCTACTAGTTATGGGTACTTTTTACTGAAGTACATTTCAAAGCCTCTTTACTTTTACTTGAGTAAAGAAGTTTAGTCAGTACTTCTACTTTCACCAGAGTATTTTTAAACACGAGTATCTGTACTTCTACTTGAGTAAAGGATGTGTGTACTTCTACTTGAGTAAAGGATGTGTGTACTTCTACTTGAGTAAAGGATGTGTGTACTTGTTCCCTCTCTACACTGTAGCTTTGTACAAATGACAATAAAAGCCTTGAAATCTTGAATGTTTTCTCACCTGCCAGGCGGTGAGACAGGAAGTGCACATCAAGTGTCTGCACGGCTCAATCTTCACGTCCTTGTCGTTTTCTGCGCAGATCTTACAGAGCTGGAACGTGGAACCCATTTCACAGTAAAGCTCGTACTGTTCCTGCAGAGGGAGAGGGAGAGGAGGCGTTTTATTTTGAAAGTATTGGTTGTTAACATTTACTATACAGATGTTGCACATTTCAGCACAATGATACCTCTTTTTAAAAGCAGCACAGCTCTTCAACTTTAAATGATATAAAAAAAATTAGAGCACCAAAGAGTAACTGTATCCTGGAGGCTTTTTTTTTCAAAATAAAAGCTCCAAGTCTTACTGTATCCTAACAATAAGCTAAGGAGGAGGCTTGTTTTTCAAAATAAAAGCTCCATAGAGTAACTGTATCCTAACAAATCCTTTTCAAAATAAAAGCTCCATAAATTAGCAGTGGAAGTTCAAAATAGAAGGACATTGAAATACTAAACATAAAGTACAAGATCTTTAAATTGAACTTACGTAAAGTACTTAGTTAAGGTCCACAAACCTGAGTAACTTTGATGTGGTCCTGTGGAGACGGCTCACAGAGACCCGTCAGGTCCGGGTTCTGAGCTCGACCGTCGGGGAACAGATAGCTGGAGAACACACACAAATATATAAAATACATAAAATATATACTGTATATAATATATTATATATGTAAAGCTGAGAGAAGCATTTCAGAATACTCAGTTCTTCATTTGCAAGACAAATCTAATAGTTAAAGGTCTGTTTTCTTTAAGGCCCACATTACTTCCCTTTGCAAAGCTGGATAAACCCTCTAACACCATATGCATTACATCTGTAGAGGATGACATCATCAAATAATACTTTGCAATCGGATTAAGAGTACTCACAAAACTGCGCACGTGGCATTTCCAGTTTAATCTAACCTTGATGTTGTTCCCTGACAAACCTTCCCCTTTTTAAGTTTAATTCTTATTATTTTTAACATGCATTCATCGCTTTAACGTCAGAGAGTTTTCCCTCGTGCAGAATATTCAATTTGTTTTTCTGGTAAAGTTTCATCTGCGGGATTCTCTAAGATATTAACAAACAACACAGCTTTCCGGAGTCATTGTGGCACTCTCATATATGTTTGGACCCATCATTAGTGTACTGATGTATCCTATAATGTGAGACTTGCTAAATTGTCTCTGTGCTGCAGTCGGACTCACAATCCCTCTCTGTATCCGTCGATGAGGGCCTGGAACAGGGGTTTGTTGTGAGGGATCGTCTGCAGGATGTTCCCGTCCGCCGTTACGTAGCCGATCGCCCACTGACCGAGCCGAGTGCAGCTCAGCCTGAAGATGTAGCTGAGGGAGGAGACGATCGAGAAAAACACATTACAAACATACCTACAAGTTAAGATCAGCAGGATAATCTCCAGATATTAACACCACGTTGTGATTTCTGAAGTAAAAAGCTAATGTTGGGCTATAAAGGAACTACAGCACGGTCACATGACTTCACGTCACCACCGCTAAGCTAAAGGCGGCTAATGTTGGGCTATAAAGGAACTACAGCACGGTCACATGACTTCACATCACCACCGCTAAGCTAAAGGCGGCTAATGTTGGGCTATGAAGGAACTACAGCACGGTCACATGACTTCACGTCACCACCGCTAAGCTAAAGGTAGCTAATGTTGGGCTATAAAGGAACTACAGCACGGTCACATGACTTCACATCACCACCGCTAAGCTAAAGGTAGCTAATGTTGGGCTATAAAGGAACTACAGCACGGTCACATGACTTCACGTCACCACCGCTAAGCTAAAGGTGGCTAATGTTGGGCTATAAAGGAACTACAGCATGGTCACATGACTTCACATCACCACCGCTAAGCTAAAGGTAGCTAATGTTGGGCTATAAAGGAACTACAGCACGGTCACATGACTTCACGTCACCACCGCTAAGCTAAAGGTGGCTAATGTTGGGCTATAAAGGAATGACAGCACGGTCACATGACTTCACGTCACCACCGCTAAGCTAAAGGCGGCTAATGTTGGGCTATAAAGGAACTTCAGCACGGTCACATGACTTCACGTCACCACCGCTAAGCTAAAGGTGGCTAATGTTGGGCTATAAAGGAACTACAGCACGGTCACATGACTTCACGTCACCACCGCTAAGCTTAAGGTTGCTAATGTTGGGCTATAAAGGAACTACAGCACGGTCACATGACTTCACGTCACCACCGCTAAGCTAAAGGCGGCTAATGTTGGGCTATAAAGGAACTACAGCTCGGTCACATGACTTCACGTCACCACCGCTAAGCTAAAGGCGGCTAATGTTGGGCTATAAAGGAACTACAGCACGGTCACATGACTTCACGTCTCCACCTGTAAGCTAAAGGCTAATGTTGGGCTATAAAGGAACTACAGCACGGTCACATGACTTCACGTCTCCACCTGTAAGCTAAAGGCTAATGTTGGGCTATAAAGGAACTACAGCACGGTCACATGACTTCACGTCCCTACCGCTAAGCTAAAGGCTAATGTTGGGCGTGATGACGTTCAGCCATCTCATTTAGACACTTGTTAGCAACCACAGTTTTTAAAGTCACCAGTGGGGTATTTACTCACGTGTTTTATGTCGTAATAATAGAATATTATTTTTGTTTCTCACCTGCCGGGTTTGTGTATGAATCTGTGCAGACGAGCCTTCACCTCGTCGTACGTCAAGAAGGCCATGTACCCGGGGTGAGTGACTGCCAGACTGTTCCAGTTCCTCAAAAGAGACGACCATGGCTACACACACACACACACACACACACACACACACACACAGAAAAGCTATAATGCCCAATTCCTATTTTAGGATGTCCAGAAGTCTACCAATTTAGTCATTTCAAAAAACGTAAACATGTATAAATGTGACAGGAAGAATGGATTCAGTGCTGAAATAGATAAACATTTTTTACAGATTGTCAGTGAGGGGTTCAAAGTGTTTACCTGGAAGAGGCGTGTGAAGATGTCGAACTCGAACACGGAGATGTAGTCGTTGCACGTCAGATCGATAGTGGACTTCAGAGCCATCGCCTCCAACCCCGAGCTGATGGGGTGAAACTCGTGGAGCGCCTGCCGAAACGTCCTCCAGGGAACGATGGTCCTGAAGGACATCAGAGGGGGGTTCAGGGTCAGTAGGAATTTATCATTACAGTCTGAATACCATGCATCGAAAAGTTAAAGCGATCAGACAGCAGGTAACAAGTTAAATTAAGCTTTCCGTTAAAAAACCCTGAACAATTTGTACACATTTTACTCAAACTTGACCTCATTGCATTAAAATGGTTATTAACAACTGCTTTTCCCACTTTTTAATGCATACATCCTGTGCTTTAAGTTTATTTTCAAATCTGGATCAGCTCTCGTTTTTAGAGATGTGGGTACGGAGGAAAAGAGAGAGGGTTTTATTTTCTGACACTTTGTGAGTCTCCTGACACCGGGGACACATATTGATGTAGAGAAGACATCACAAAGTGCATTTTGCATGACAGGTCCCCTTTAAATTACAATGTCCCTTAAAAAAACCCTGAACAATTTGTACACATTTTACTCAAACTTGACCTCATTGGATTAAAATTGTTAACTACGTTTCCCACTTTTTAATGTATACATCCTGTGCTTTACATTTCTTTAGTAGTTGTATGTTGGTCTATTATCAGGGGTGCATATAACTTTCTTAGTGAGGTACTCAGATGAGTACCAGGAGACAGTGTTTGCTACTCCAACTTGTGGCCCCACGCAAAGTTATGTGGGTGCTAGTGAGCTGCGAGCTGATTTTGCGCAGTTCTCCAGTGTGTGCGCGGGTAACACAAGTGACGGTACGCATTTCAGATGTTTGCCGCGCACGCGTACCAGTTATGTTATTATAGTGGCTCAGTCGGTAGGGGCTTGGACTGTGAGCCGTAGGGTTGCTGGTTCAAGTCCCCGACCAGACCTAAATATGGAGTGTGGACTGCTACTTGGAGAGGTCCCAGTTCACCTCCTGCCCTGCCGTGGTGCCCTTCAGCAAATCCTGAGCTTGATCAGTTCTGTTTTATTAATCATGTTTACTTTGCAAAATAAGTGTGTGAGGGTTTCCCCTGAACTATATCTGCATCTTGCACCATATGTTTTAAGTAAAAATGAAATAAACAATGTCGCAAAATCAGCTGTTTGTCCATCTGTCTCCAGACAGCGCACCTCTGAATAAATATTTCAACAATCATTGCATCAGAAAAAAAACCTGATTCGTCAGATGCAATGCATCATGGGATTGAAGATGATATCTAAACTCTTTATCTAACGCCTAACACTGCTTTCAACACGGATAAATAATCATAAAATACATCCAGTAACATCCATTGTCTGTTTATAAGCTTCATGAAGCCTCTGTTTTCCTAGGACAGCTTGTAAATCTTCTGAAATTGGTACGAACGCCTTGCAAAGTGTTTAAAAAGGTCTGGAGCTGAGCTTTATTAAGCCTTTGACGATAAAACTAACTGATATTCCGTTCTGGAGATATCCTTGTAAGAGTAAGAAAAACTCTAATCGACCTCCCAGAGTTAAAACGCCAACTTAAAGCTCACCTATCATGCTATATTTAGGCAATAGCACAGGTCTCTGATATATACAAATATATAAAAAACATGTCTATGAAGTGTTTTGCTCAAAATACCAAACAGATCACCCATTCTAGCCATGCCTCATATCCCTCTATTTCACTTCCTGTTTCTAAAGTGCAGATTTTTTTTTAAAAATGAGGGGGCTGAGCTCATGCGGGACCCGGCAGCTACTGTCTAAACTAAATGCTGCCGTGATGAAACGCCATATCATGGGTTATCAAGGATTCTCTCTGAAACAGTATGGAGCTCAAAGGCTTTCTCTCTTGCCGGTTATACCACAAGGTGAGTTCCTTTTTACTTCCTGCTTCTTCACACACATGCTCTCCAGTACAGGTTAGCTCTGAGTGTTAGCGATGCTAATGTAAACACCGACCATATTACGTCCAAAACAGTCGGGCATTGTTTCTGATAGCAACGTTTCTGATTGGGCCGTGGGTCCACATTTCAGATATTACGTCATATCGGACGCAAATCTGGATCAGCTCCGTTGTTCCCCGTTTTTAGAGATTTGGGTTCGGAGGAAAAGAGAGAGGGTTTTATTCTCTGACGCTGCGTGAGTTCCCCGACACACCGGGGACACATGTTTATGTATAACAGACATCACAAAGTGCATTTTGCATGATAGGTCCCCTTTAAAGTAATTGTTATTGTTTAATATGTGAAAAAGCACACTCAGGATTGCTTTTTTAAATGTGGAGCAATGACAATAAAACTGACTTGTCTCCGAAGGATCTCCTCCAGAACTCGGCAGCGTCGGCTTTGGTGATCCGGAAGTTGTCTCCCTGGAATAATCCGTTAGGAAAGATGGCTTTGAGCTCGGCCAGCATGTGGCTGAAGATCAGAGACAGTTTGGTGAGGTTCCTCCTGAGAGACGAAAGGAAACAGATATGTGTTAAAAAATACACTTCATCACTGACAGAACTCTGTAGAGCTGTGGTCAGAGCAGGGAAGTAACTAAGTACATTAACTCAGGTACTTTTACTTGAGGAACATTTTGAATGCAGGACTTTTACTGAAACAGAGTATTCCTACACTCTGGTACTCAAGTACAAGACCTGAGTACTTCTCTGATTAACCCAGCTTCCCCCAAATGTGTCCATATATACGCCGGGATCCTGAGTCGAGGCTAATCCTGTTGCTGTGGTCGTGTGTCCTGGATCCTCTATCCTGAGTTCTGGATCTGAGTCCTGGACTTTGAGTCGTGGCTGAACCTGTCTCTGTGGTCCTGCCTGACTCTAATCATACTACTTCCCTGATGGCTCCCACAGGATTGTTGACATCCTCGTGGATTCATCTTCTTCTTACAGACACATGCATTTCCTAATATTCGGTCTATATGATGTAAATGTATTATCTCTTCAATTTACACACGGCATCTATTGCACGTCTGTCCGTCCTGGGAGAGGGATCCCTCCTCTGTTGCTCTCCCTGAGGTTTCTCCCATGTTCCCTTTAAACTGTGGGTTTTCTCCGGAAGTGTTTCCTTGTACGATGTGAGTATGGGCTCAGAACAGTCTCATAATACACACATGCACACAGAAGGATTCAAACTTGTATTTCCGGGTCCATACTTGTGTTTTTCAAAGCACACACAAATGTATTCCGTTTCATATCCATGTAAATAAAATCCAAATACAGAAAAAAGTTTTACATGTGTATTTTTGATCCTCACTTATTAGTTTCCTGTTTGAATCTCCTGAACATGCAAACACAAACAGCTTTCTGTGCACGGATCGCTGTGCATTCGTGTGTGGGTTTTATGAGACTCCCCTGACGGTCAGCCGATTCGTACTTGTAATTTTTCTATCTATAGCCAATCAGATGTCTCCTTCATTCTAAGCCAATCACATGAGCGCGCCCACACGAGGGTAAGATTACTTCATATATGCATTTTGCGCAGTCCGGTCAGCTCGCTAAACAGAGGGCGGAGCATCAGGTGATCATGCAGAGCTGCGTGTCTCCATCAGACTCAGCAGCTGATCTGATCTCTCTCTCGCGTCCGGTTACGTTACACTTCACTCGCGTTTATGTCCATATTGATCAGATCCAGCTCTCCTGATCGGCCTTTATAGAGAGCACCGATCAAACTATTAAGAGTGAATATCGGCCAATAATGACCGGCGGGGCTCCCCCCTGAGGTCACTGTCTAGCACTGGCTTCGTAGTGCACTGATCGAGTAGGCTAAGCTAACCTGTAGCTGCTCCCTCCACACTCACAACAACTTCATACAGACATAAATAAAGCAGCTGTATTCGCCACACAGGAAACACACATTTAAAACGGGTTTGCCTGCCGTTTGTGTACACAAGCATTCATCAATGGTTTGGAAAGTGGCGCTGTACCTTAATAATATAAAGGCTTGTATTTGCGTGCATTTCCTGTTCGGAAAGTGGCGCTGTACTGAGAGTGGAGGGTGTCCTGAGATTAGCGCCTGCAGGCAGGCTCCATGCGAACGCAAGAAATCTACCCTCGTGGGGGCGCGCTCATGTGATTGGCTTAGAATTGAGGAGACATCTGATTGGCTATAGATAGAAATAATTACAAGTACGAATCGGCTGACCGTCAGGGGAGTCTCAAAAAACCCACACACGAATGCAAAGCGATCCGTGCACAGAGAGCGGGTTGTGTTTGCAGGTGCAGGGGATTTACACAGAAAACAAATATGTGAGGATCAAAAATACACATGTAAAACTTTTTTCTGTATTTGGATTTTATTTACATTTATATGAAACGGAATACATTTGTGTGTGCTTTGAAAAACACAAGTGTGGATCCGGAAATACAAGTGTGAATCCTTCTGTGTGCATGTGTGTATTATGAGACTGTTCTGAGCCCATATCTCACGCCTAGACTACTGCAACTGCCTCCTGGCTGGTCTACCTGCATGTGCCATCCGACCTCTGCAGCTCACCCAGAATGCAGCGGCTCGTCTGGTCTTCAACCTTCCTAAATGTTCCCACACCACTCCGCTCCTCCGCTCCCTTCACTGGCTTCCGGTAACTGCTAGAATCCACTTCAAGACACTGGTACTTGCTTACCATGCTGCGAATGGATCTGGCCCTTCCTACATCCAGGACATGGTTAAACCGTACACCCCAGCGCGTGCACTACGCTCTGCATCAGCCAAACGACTCGCTGCACCCTCGCTGCGAGGGGGACCCAAGTTCCCATCAGCAAAAACACGTGGGTTTGCTGTCCTGGCTCCAAGATGGTGGAATGAGCTCCCCATTGACATCAGGACGGCAGATAGCTTACACACCTTCCGGCGCAGACTGAAAACTCATCTCTTTCGACTCCACTTCGAGCGTTAGAACTATTAACGAAGCACTTATATACTAATAAAGGACTGGATTACCTAAAGCCAGTTGAGTAGCACTTGAAATGTTTTTGCTCTATGAAACCTGATGTACTTATATGATTCTGTTCTCTTCAAGGTTGTGTCTTCCTGGTCGAATGTACTTATTGTAAGTCGCTTTGGATAAAAGCGTCAGCTAAATGCAATGTAATGTAATATGTGAGGGTCTAAGGACAGAGGGTCTAAGGACAGAGGGTCTAAGGACAGAGGGTCTGAGGACAGAGGGTGTCGTATTGTCATACTGATATTCTGTACAAACTGTGAAGTCCACTGAGACAAATGTAACATTTGTGATATTGGGCTATAAATAAACATTGATTTATTCTACTTTTACTCAAGAACAAGATCTGAGTACTTCTACTTCTACTCAAAGATCTGAGTACTTCTACTCAAAGATCTGAGTACTTCTTCCCCTCTGGTTGAGGACGGATTTATTAGTGAATCTTAAAATAGTGTTTCTTGAGGAAATGAAATCAGAGGAAGGAAGGAGATCTGCTGACTGAAGACTTTCTGAGAAAAAGGAAGTGGGTCTGATTGCGAAAGTTTCATCATTTATCAGAAACATTTCAGTTGTTTTCTTCAGTTTGTGCACACGTCACTGATCTCATCTGAGCACGGAACGGTTTCAGAAACCTCAATGTTTAGATTAGTAGGTGGTGCATGAAGGAGGAAATGCGTCATATAGAAATGAGACATGTTTGCTTCTGTTTAAATACAGACACATATAAATAATAGTATAATTAGCAAAAACCATATTAGCCGATACTTATCTATAAATAAAGAGTCATTTTCTAATTCATTTTGAATCATTTTAAGAACTGGGCTGTGAGTTCTCCTTGTTTTTATTAATAATAAATAATAATAATAAATATACCTTGGTTGTGAGTTCTCCTCGTGCATAATAATAAATAATAACTTGAATTTATATAGTGCCTTTCATAACCTCAAGGTCGCTTTACAAAGAAACATATAAGGACAAGACATAAAACATAAAACGGGGCAGAAATGGAAGTGTAAGTGGGGGGGGGGGGGGGGGGGGGAGTGAGTTGATGTTGGAAGGCTTTGTTGAACAGATGAGTTTTCAGGGTTGATGTGAAGATGTTGAGAGTAGGGGCGTTGCGACACTGAAGGCACGGCCCCCGAAGGTGCGGAGGTGTGAAGGTGGAATGGAGAGCAGGCCGGAGTCTGAGGATGGAAGGGTGCGGGACGGGGGGTGGAGGAGATCTGTGAGGGACTGAGGGGAGAGGGCGTGGAGGGGCTTGGAGGTGAGGAGGAGGAGTTTGTAGGTGATGCGGGACTTGACCGGGAGCCAGTGGAGGTTGGAGAGAGTGGGGGTGATGTGCTGCCAGGGCTCGGTGCGTGTGAGGACCCTGGCAGCTGAGTTCTGGATGTACTGGAGCCGGTTCAGGGTTCTGCTGGGAACCCCGGACAGGAGTCCGTTACAATAGTCCAGGCGGGAGGTAATGAAACTATGAATTACATCCTCTCCTTGTTAATAATAATAACAACAACAACAACAGTACCTTGGCTGTGAGTTCTCCTCGTACATCCTCTCCTTGGCCTCCTTGAAGAGGCTCATGGTCTGCTTGGTCTTGTTGGTCAGGTTCTCCATCACCACCCTGAAGTACTCGTTCTCCCCCAGGACCTCCATCTTGCCCTCGTATCGGGACAGCACGGTGCGGAGGTGCTGGTACGTGTCGGGCAGGAGGTCCAGGATGTAGGGCGGGCTGTTCTTCAGCGCCACCTTCGGGTTCTGGCACAGACGCACCACCTGTAAAGGGAAACAGGACATTTATTTATCCCGGATAATGGGTTTCAGGACAGTTGCTGTATTTTACAAGTTAAATTAAACCCACCACCTGCACAGCAAAACAGATCCAGAATAACGTATTAATCCCAGAGGAGAGAGAGTTAGTGTTGGGACCAGGGGGTCACAGGTTCAAACCCCACTGCAGTCAGCATGTCGTTGTGTCCCTGAGTCCCTTCACCCCAAATTGCTCCTGTGGGGATTGCCCACAGTACTGAGTATGTAAGTCTATTTCGATAAAAGCCACTAACAAGTGACATGTAATGTAATGTTTCTCAATGTCGAGGACGCTTGCTTGGTAGGACATGTCTTCCGAGTCAGGTCCTTCAGAAGCGAGGCAAGAATCCTTCCTAGCCTCGGAAAACGAAGAATGGTGGAACAGGCTAACAGGTGTGCGTCCTATGCGAGGCCCCGCCTTAAATGGAGCGCGATTTCCGCCAACGGTTTTGGAGATTGGTCCGTGCGCAAAGCATTGTGGGGATTTTAAGACCGCGGAGGATACACATGTGCAGCCTCGAAATTTCCCGCAGCGAAGTACGCCGGCCTCGGTAGAATTCCAAGTATGCTGGACATTGGAGCAGTCCTTCGGTGGGACTCGATGACGTAGCATCCTTAAAATAGTGGCTCTGGAGCATCCTTCCTCGACATTGAGAAACACCCAGAGTACAGTTGCCCCATTTAAAAGATTAAATTAACTTAAAAAGATTTTTACAAACAGAGAGAAGTTGAAATATAAATGTGCACGTTGTACTACAGTAAATAACAATAAATATGTAAAAATGAATATTAAAAATGTATCATTCCCCGGGGGAAAGTGGGTCGCGGGACAGTCGCTTACATTTTGTAATAAAATTAAATGAAAAATTAAATAACATAAGAAGTTAAAGGGAAAGTGTTGAATATAAAATACAAATTAAAAACTATTTATGCAAATATAGGAAGATGGGAGAAAAAATAAAAAAAAATAAAATACAAATATTCCTCAAATCATAACAAGTTAAAGTAAAAAGGTGCAATAAAAAAAGTACTAAATAATAAGTACACGACCATAAGAAATTAAAGTAGAAATGTCCAATATAAATAATATGTTTTATTTTAAAGGCCAGAGTAAAAAGGAGGAATAATATAAAAAACACAAGAAAATACAAATACAAAATATATTAAATATTTATTTTGACATAAGAAGTTAAATTAAAGATATGCACATTGTACAATACATAACACAAATGTAACATGTGTTTATTATAATATAAACAGTAGTGTTTTAGCATTAACATGACTCAGCATTTCCCTTTGCTCAAGTCAGGGTTTTTTTTGCGTGTTTTTCGTTTTCAACCTGAAGAGATTTTAGTACTATGTGTTAAAGGGGACCTATCATGCAAAATGCACTTTGTGATGTCTTCTCTACATCACCATGTGTCCCCAGTGTGTCGGGGAACTCACGCAGCGTCAGAAAACAAACCCCTCTCTCTTTTCCTCCGTACCCAAATCTCTAAAAACGGGGAAACAACGGAGCTGATCCAGATTTGCGTCCGATATGACGTAATATCTGAAATGTGGACCCACGGCCCAATCAGAAACGTTGCTATCAGAAACAATGCCCGACTGTTTTGGACGTAATATGGTCGGTGTTTACATTAGCATTGCTAACACTCAGAGCTAACCTGTACTGGAGAGCATGTGTGTGAAGAAGCAGGAAGTAAAAAGGAACTCACCTTGTGGTATAACCGACAAGAGAGAAAGCCTTTGAGCTCTTACTCAGGGCTCGACATTATAAATGGCCCGCTGGCCCGGAAGCACTATTTAGACACCCGGGCAGCATAACGTACTTTCCACTTGCCCGCTCGGGCCACTGTAAATATTGTTTTAAAAAAAATGTTTTTGACTAGCAATTTAGTTAAATTGTTTCGTTTATTAACGCTACAACATAGCGTTTCGTGAGTCGCTTGTCATTGTTGGGTGAAAAGCAAACAGCTGTTTGCTGCGGATCGCAGCGCGAGCAGGCTCCCGTGAGCGGGAGCGCGCTCCTTCACTACAGACTATCGCGCCACCTAACCATTCGCCAAAATGTTTTTAATACCAGCGGTAACCGGCCAAGCGCCGGGCAAAAAACGATCTTCAAATAAAAGAAAGTCACCGGAGGAGTTAAAGGAGAGTGACAGGGAGCATGAGAAGAAGAGGGAGAGAACGTTTCAGCTTGATCTTTCTTAATCTCTTTCATTTTTTGTAAAGCACTTTGAATTGCCTTGTGTTGAAAAGTGCTATATAAATAAACTTGCCTTGCCTTGATCGATGGAGTTGGCTGCAGTGACGCATCTTAAAACCCTTTTATAATCTATCGATTAGATTTACGATTAGAAAACTATAAAAGTAGGGTAGACATGTGGAGATTATCCGGCTGAACAAAACGTGCATTTATCAAACAGGTTAGTTTTCCACAGACCTTATTTCCAGCTATTTTCCAAAACCCTGTGGAGAAATCCCATTGCTTTCTGTGGAGGGAACCAGCAGCTTACTTCCTGGTTTTAGGACGCGTCACTGGCTGCACCTCTCAATATGATGCAATATAAACAAGGTCTTCTGTCGGATCTGTACATCAATGCCGACCTATGCTGACAAGTGAGTGAAGAGTAGGGTTGGGAACCGAAACTCGGTTCCAGATGAGAACCGATAAGAAAATGCCGGGTACCGGGTACCCATACAAAATACACAATTTCGGTTCTGCTTAACGGTTCCTAAACGCGGTAGACCCTGTATTCCAGCGGGTCCGTCTGCACCGCGGTGCTGCGGTGACCCGGTGGAATACAGGGCGGACCTGGAGAATCACAGAACGGCCGGTCGTCAGCGGGCCGTTGACGGCCGGCTCGGTACGCTGACGGCCGGCACCCCCCTTCATTTTTTTAAACGGCATCATATAAATTGCGCTGACAGGCGACAGAGGTCCACAGTTGCCCCGCAGCGATGCTTCCCCGCCCTCCCGTAGACATTTCACGAGCTCAGTCACTTCATAACACCAAAGATAGGTCGCGGTAAACACTCTGAAGTGAGGCTCCACTACACTAAAAAAGAAAAGGCAAAGTGTAATGCCTGTTAATAGCTTGCCACAGGCATAGGAGCTCAGTTAAAATAAAGCACAGCTATTGTGCAATACATTTGTATTGCATGTATATTTTTTAGTAACAATTTCAGTTAAAGCTTTTAAGAATAAATATATTTTTGTTATCTAAACGTTTGACCTCTTTATTTTACAATTTTGGAATCGAAACGGGGAATCGATAAGAACCGGAATCGATAAGCAGAACCGGAATCGAAATCGGAATCGATACATTTCAAACGATACCCATCCCTAGTGAAGAGTAGACAATATAAAGGTATTGGCGAAATGTCCCAGCAGTTTAATGAAGGTTCTAATCTAATCAATTACATAGTCATTACATGTCTAACTCCTAATGACAGGAAGGCAGAAAGTGCATTATACAAATAATAATACTCATAATAATAGCAGACATTTTTTAACAATGACCACAATATAATTATTTTAATAAACCAAATATAAACAATTGAGGAAAATGAGGAAGAACTGATTGTTCAAATGTTGTAATAATGTAGTTAGTGCATAAATTACTATTGCAACAAATGTGTTAATTTTCTTCATTATTAGTCGATTTATTTTGGACGAATGCTCCGGGGTACAATGGTGGGGCCAGCGGCTTTTTACCCTTAATGTCTACCCCTGTCTTACTGTTTCAGAGAGAACCCTTGATAATCCATGATATGGCGTTTCATCACGGCAGCATTTAGTTTAGACAGTAGCTGCCGGGTCCCGCATGAGCTCAGCCCCCTCCTCTTTAAAGCTTTATCCCCAAATCAGCTCTTTAGAAACAGGAAGTGGAATAGAGGGATATGAGGCATGGCTAGAATGATCTGTTTGGTGTTTGGAGCAAAACACTTCATAGACATGTTTTTTATATATTTGTATATATCTGAGACCTGTGCTGTTGCCTACAGATAGCACGATAGGTGACCTTTAAAGGATGTTTTTATAAAGCACTTTCCTGGTTGTTAGAGGTGCTGTTTAAATAAAAAGAGGCGTGTTCATGTTTGCTTTACAACGTGACATTTTATAACATGTCTTGTTTGCTTCAGGGACTAAAGGGAACTGAGTGGAGGAGATGGGGTCTGGAAAACGACATGATAAGAAGAATATTCTTGGATTTAAAACAAATGTATGCAACGATTACACAACTGTTTGAATATAATCTATCTAATCCATATTTAATGCATGGTAATAAACACTGCAGTCAAACTGAACTTTACGCGCTAAGAGGAAGCCTATGACTGGAGGATTTACAAAAACAAACAGTTTGAATACGTCCCACAGTAAAGGGGGTCAGTGAACGCCACATGATCACACTGCAGGTGTAAATGAAGCTTTACAACCACATCTCTGCACAACATAGTTAGGCACTGAGTTTCTACACCACTTAGTGCATGTCAATGGTCTGCAGAGGCTAGAATCAGTGTGTGGATTCTTTGTGTGTGTTTTACTAGCTTGTGTATGTTATTTTAAACTCCGTCTGATCTGATAACCGCCTCTCGTTTCCTCCAGTCCTTCTGAATGCATCTTTTAAACTCTCTTCATCTTCTTGTCCTCTCCTGTCTGATCAGATTAGATCGAGGAGACGATAAATAAAAGTGACAGGCGGCAATGGAAACACACACACACACACACACACTGACTTATAGACACACACACACACACAGACACACACACAGACTTACAGACAGACAGACAGACAGCCACACACACACACACACACACAGACTTACAGACACACACACACAGACTCACACACACACAGACTTACAGACACACACACACACACTGACAGACAGACAGACAGACAGACAGACAGACAGACAGACAGACAGACACACACACACACACTGACTTACAGACACACACACACACACACACTGACAGACAGACAGACAGCCACACACACACACACACACACAGACTTACAGACACACACACACACACAGACTCACACACAGACTTACAGACACACACACACACACTGACAGACAGACAGACAGACAGACAGACAGACACACACACACACTGACTTACAGACACACACACACACACACACACACAGACTTACAGACACACAGACTTACAGACACACACACACACACACACACACACACACAGACTTACAGACACACACACACACTGACAGACAGACACACTGACTGACAGACAGACAGACAGACAGACAGACACACACACACACACACAGACAGACAGACACACACACTGACTGACAGACAGACACACACACTGACAGACACACACACACACACTGACTGACAGACACACACACTCTTATACGTTTGGTTTATAATGGTGAATACATTAACACAGTAAGAGGAAGTAAGCGGTAAAAATAAAAAGGAGCGAATAAATAACATATTTTCAAACGGCTTAAAAGTATATTATTAAAACTAAAATGGCAAATAAAACACGCAGTATATCTGAATTGAACAAGATCAATTCATTAATCCGACCTATTCAACGTGCATTCTTCACATCTGTTTGGCATTAATACTTACACTGTATATTCAAAGCAATCATCTATTCTTCAGTATTAATATAATTTAAAATAGTATTACACACTTCTGTATATATTGAAATATATACATCATTTAATATTTCACTTTAACTTCTCTGATTATGTCGATATTTCTATTTTATGTTTGAAATAAAGCAACGTTATTTTGACTCTGAAATATAATACAATGTTTATTAAATATAATCCACTCTCTTTTACGCTGTGATATGTCTTAATGTGTGTACAAGTAGTCAGATAAATATACACTTACAAGCTTAATGATGTTCAGGGAATATCATCGTCAGATCACAAACAGGACATGGATGGTAGATTTTAGTTTAATGCTACGTGGCTAATTCACTATACAGGACCCCACTTAAGTAATGATTAAGGGACATTATAGAACTCCAATTTAAGGGGTTTTATCTCTTTTCATACAGAAATAATGCAAACAAATATGCAGAGATATCAGAGTCAGGTTTAAGTAAGCTTGGTGGAAACAGTAAGAGGAAGTAGGAGGAAAGAAAAGCAGCGAATGTTTGCATTAATTAGAACTATTAAACGTCACGTTGGCGTTATTTAAATAGATGAGTCTGATCAGCAGTGGTGGATTTTAACCAAGTAGTTTAAATGTCATTCTTTACTCTTCTACATGAACCCGGCCGCTTCAAACATGTGTTTGCTCATACAGACATAAAGAAGAAGGAAGTTAACTTTGTTTCTGCTGCAAAACAACTGATAACTGACCTTACACCCGTTTTCACTTCCATGTCTTTTATAACATCAACACCAAGTATATATTTACTCATGTATTTAAGTATCTGACAGCTGGGGTTACTTTACATATTAACATTTCTGTACCGTTTATATTATTGTTGATGTTATATGTGATCTGTAGATTGACCTGCTTTACAGTGAACACCTTGGCTGCGTGTTGGGATGCTCTCTGTGTTTGTCCCTCACAGCAGCTCACCCTGTCACTCACTTCCACCATGTTTAGGCTTTATTGGAGCATTATTTGCGGTGCCTTGTTCATGAGTGACTGAGTGAGTTGTAAGTGTAGTGTTTCTACTTTGACCTAAGGAGACCTGAAGACTCGGTGCATGTGTCCATCCATAATAATGATAAAAACCTCCATGTTTAGTGTTTTTCCCAGTACTGTATTCCCAGTACCTTAACCACGAGTATCCAGCCCTTCTAATATTGTATTACCAGTACCTTTATATTCCCAGTACCTCATAATAAAAAAGATAAGATAATAAGTACTTTATTGATCCATAAATCCATGATGTTCTGATCCATGAGTTTCCATCACCTCTAACATTATATTCACAGTATTCCCAGTACATTATCCACTAGTTTCCAACATTATATTCCCAGTATCAGCATGATAGGTCCACTTTAACCAATAGTTTCCAGTACTTCTAACATATTATACTCCCAGTACCTTAACCCTGAGTCCATCACCTCCAACATAATATATTCACAGTATTGCCAGTATCTGCCAGGATTTTTAACATCATATACCCAGTATCCCTGTACCTTAACCATTAGTTTCCAGCAGTTTTAACATTATATATTCCCAGTATCTTATACATACATTTCCATCACCTCTCACATGATATATTCCCAGTACCTTATCCATGAGTTTCCAACACTTCTCCACCATCTTCTTCTCCACCACTGCGGGCTGTTGCAGAGGCTGCTGCGGCTGAAAAGCGTCCTTCATCAGCCCGATAAATCCGGCTCCTCTGCGGGGGTTTCCGGCCATTTCCCCCGTCGATGAGGCCTCAAAACCGGGGAGAATAAACCTGACACGTCACTAAACAAGAACCAGAGCTGCTTCTCCCTCGCTAACACGTCATAATATCTGGCAGTTTGAACAAGCTAACATGCTAGCTGACATGCTACATCTGGAGGAGGAAAAAAAAAAAGCCTCTTGTTTAGTTTCCTGTCGCGAAATAAAGGGTTTAATTCATTCTCTCTGTGGGGGAGAATCTTCTGCCGGGGAAGAGACACCTCCTCCGGGGAAGAGACGCTTATAATCCCCAGAGAAATGAACCCGGCTTATAATAAAACTCCGGTTGTTAATAACGCCTCTCGATCAACAAACAGGTTGAGCAGCAGCCAACGGACCCGGATATCCGGCAAAGGCCTTCAACATAAAAGAGTCGCAAATAAGGTGTATTGCCAAAGTAGGTTTACATATAGGAGCCTTGGAAGGTTCCTCATTTCTCTAAATGCCTGCTGCTTCCCCTCCTCTCTCCTCGGTTCCCCTCCTCGACTCCTCCGCTCGCATCTCCTGTGGGCGGGACTAAGACAGGATGACAGCAGTCGAGGAGGGGAATGAGAGAAAAGAGAAACCTTCTTAGTGCATAAAATATGGTGCATAAACACAGTTAAAGAAGATAGACAAGGAGCATAAAATGCAACTATTCAAGTGATTAAAATATTGCAAAATTGACATTAAATATGGATGAAAAATAGATATACGCTGTAAAAAAATATACAAAATATCAAGTTACAATGTGCAATGTGTTCGTAGGTTTTTTTAAAATATATTCATTGCTCTCGGGATGTTAAGAGCATTCCATGGAATACAACAAGTGTTTCTGAAGTGAATTACCTACCCCACCTTTAATGTAATATAGAGTCGATGATGTGTCTGAGGGTTAGTGGGGGTCTTGTTGATGAGGCCGGTAGCGGTGATGTGGAAAACTGGCATTGAAAATGTCTTTTTTTATTATTATTCTACAAAATATATCAACATGAAATCCAGTGGTGCGAGAAAACTGAAGAGGATCAGGGCCTCATATACATCGTTTATTGTATTTTCATAATTTGTTTCCTTAATGTTACAAAATCCAGTTTATTTGTTAGATATTTCAGTACAATGCCCACATTTTACATATGAATAAAAACACTTTAACTGAATTAATTATATACAAAAAAATAATGAAATGTCCCAGGAACAAACATAGTATTTGAGCCGTCTCTATACAGGCGTCCCTCTGAAGCTCAGAGAGATGTCCAGCAGCTTCGCCCCCATCTCCTCGTGCCGCCCCCCCGACAGGAAGTCCTCCGACAGCTCTCTGAAGGTGCTGCACACTCTGCGATCCTGAATATCTTCCCGTCGGATCGAATGTTTCCATCGGTGTCTCGCCTCTCCGAACAACACCAACAACGACCTCCGAGGAAGAAGCACGGAGACCTGGACTTCCTCTACTAGGATTAAAAGAATAATGTCACATTCACATGGAACACGTGACTTTCAGCCTGAGGCTAGAAAGAGACAAAGGTGAAGCCCTCTGGGGGGGGGGGGCTAACACAAAGAGGTCTTACACTTGATGTTTTTCTGTTTAAAGGTCCCCTATTATACTGTTTCTCATCAATATCCAGAGCCTGTCTCTGATTGGCTGAAACACCAAACAGATCATTGCAGCATTACCCATAATCCCCTCTGTTTCAGCCCTGTTTCCAAAGTGCTGATTCTCTGTCTGTTACTTCAGATGAAAATAAGGAGCCCCTCCCCACGCCCCTCTGAGAGACATTTGGTTACAAAGAACTCAATGGAGCTCTAGGAGGAGATTCAGGTGATAAGGGGGGGGGGGGTTACCTTGGTTGCTGATTGGCTAATGGTTACACAAGACAACACATCGTTATGACATCATCAAGTGGCCAAAATCTGATCAGTTCATTTTCAGACAGGTTTTTATAGAAATGGATCAAAAAGAGAGAGAATCTTTGTTCCTGAAACTTTCAGAGTCTCTTTCCACAGAGGGGACACATGTTGATGTAGAAGAGACATGAAGAAGAGGGGACACATGTGATTGTACGAAGAGACATGAAGAAGAGGGGACACATGTTGATGTAGAAGAGACATGAAAAGGGGGGGGGAAGAGGTAGAAGAGGGGACCACATGTTGATGAAGAAGGAGACTATGAAGAAGAGGGGACACCTGTTGATGTAGAAGAGACATGAAGAAGAGGGGACCACATGTTGATGTAGAAGAGACATGAAGAAGAGGGGACACATGTTTGATGTAAGAAGAGACATGAAGAAGAGGGGACACATGTTGATGTAGAAGAGACATGAAGAAGAGGGGACACATGTTTGATGTAGAAGAGACATGAGAAGAGGGGACACATGTTGATGAAGAAGAGACATGAAGAAGAGGGGGACACATGTTGATGTAGAAGAGACATGAAGAAGAGGGGACACATGTTGATGTAGAAGAGACATGAAGAAGAGGGGACACATGTTGATGTAGAAGAGACATGAAGAAGAGGGGACACATGTTGATGTAGAAGAGACATGAAGAAGAGGGGACACATGTTGATGTAGAAGAGACATGAAGAAGAGGGGACACATGTTGATGTAGAAGAGACATGAAGAAGAGGGGACACATGTTGATGTAGAAGAGACATGAAGAAGAGGGGACACATGTTGATGTAGAAGAGACATGAGAAGAGGGGACACATGTTGATGTAGAAGAGACATGAAGAAGAGGGGACACATGTTGATGTAGAAGAGACATGAAGAAGAGGGGACACATGTTGATGTAGAAGAGACATGAAGAAGAGGGGACAACATGTTGATGTAGAAGAGACATGAAGAAGAGGGGACACATGTTGATGTAGAAGAGACATGAAGAAGAGGGGACACATGTTGATGTAGAAGAGACATGAAGAAGAGGGGACACATGTTGATGTAGAAGAGACATGAAGAAGAGGGGACACATGTTGATGTAGAAGAGACATGAAGAAGAGGGGGACACATGTTGATGTAGAAGAAGACATGAGAAGAGGGGACACATGTTGGATGAGAAGAGAACATGAAGAAGAGGGGCACACATGTTGATGTAGAAGAGACATGAAGAAGAGGGGGACACATGTTGATGTAGAAGAGACATGGAAGAAGAGGGGACACATGTTGATGTAGAAGAGGAACATGGAAGAAGAGGGGGACACATGTTGATGTAGAAGAGACATGAAGAAGAGGGGACACCTGTTGATGTAGAAGAACATGAAGAAGAGGGGACCCATGTTGATGTAGAAGAGACATGAAGAAGAGGGGACACATGTTGATGTAGAAGAGACATGAAGAAGAGGGGGACACATGTTGATGTATGAAGAGACATGAAGAAGAGGGGACACATGTTTGATGTAGAAGGAGACATGAAGAAGAGGGGCACACATGTTGATGTAGAAGAGACATGAAGAAGAGGGGACACATGTTGATGTAAGAAGAGACATGAAGAAGAGGGGACACATGTTGATGTAGAAGAGACATGAAGAATGAGGGGACACATGTTGATGTAAGAAGAGGACATGAAGAAGAGGGGACACATGTTGATGTAGAAGAGACATGAAGAAGAGGGGACACATGTTGTGTAGAAGAGACATGAAGAAGAGGGGACACATGTTGATGTAGAAGAGACATGAAGAAGAGGGGGACACATGTTGATGTAGAAGAGACATGAAGAAGAGGGACACATGTTGATGTAGAAGAGACCATGAAGAAGAGGGGACACATGTTGATGATAGAAGAGACATGGAAGAAGAGGGGACACATGTTGATGAAGAAGAGACATGAAGAAGATGGGGACACATGTTGATGTAGAAGAGACATGAAGAAGAGGGGACACATGTTGATGAAGAAGAGACATGAAGAAGAGGGGACACATGTTGATGTAGAAGAGACATGAAGAAGAGGGGAACACATGTTGATGTAGAAGAAGAGACGTGATGTAGAAGAGACCATGAAGAAGTGAGGGACACATGTTGATGTAAGAAGAGGACAGTGAAGAACGAGGGACCACTGTTGATGTAGAAATACACATGAAGAAGAGGGGACACATGTTTATGTAGAAGAGACATGAAGAAGAGGGGACACATGCTTGATGTAGAAGAAGACCATGAAGAAGAGGGGACACATGTTGATAGTTAGAAGACATGAATGGGATGGGTGACCCCCATGTGATTAGAAGAGACATGAAGACGGGACACATGGTTGATTGTTAGAACGAGACCATTGAAGAAGAGGGAACACTGTTGATGTAGAAGAGACATTGGAAGAAGAGGGACACACTGTTGATGTAGTGTAGAAGAGACATGAAGAAGAGGGGAACACATGTTGATGTTAGGACGGAGACCATGAAGAAGAGGGGACACATGTTGAGGTTGTAGAAGAGGACATGAAGAAGAGGGGACACATGTTGACTGTAGAAGAGACATGAAGAAGAGGGGACACATGTTGATGTAGAAGAGACATGAAGAAGAGGGGACACATGTTGATGTAGAAGAGACATGAAGAAGAGGGGACACATGTTGGTGAAGAAGAGGACATGAAGAAGAGGGGACCACATGTTTGATGTAGAAGAGACATGAAGAAGAGGGGACACAATGTTGATGTAGAAGAGACATGAAGAAGAGGGGACACCATGTTGATGTAGAAGAGACATGAAGAAGAGGGGACACATGTGATGTAGAAGAGACATGAAGAAGACTGGGGACACATGTTGATTGTAGAAGAGACATGAAGAAGAGGGGACACATGTTGACTGTATAAGAGACATGAAGAAGAGGGGACACATGTGTGATGTAAGAAGAGACATGAAGAAGAGGGACACATGCCCTTTGATGTAGAAGCGAACATGAGAATAGGGGACACATGTTGATGTAGAAGAGACATGAAGAAGAGGGGACACATGTTGATGTAGAAGAGACATGAAGAAAGAGGGGACACATGTTGATGTAGAAGAGACATGAAGAAGAGGGGACACATGTTGATGTAGAAGAGACATGAAGAAGAGGGGACACATGTTGATGTAGAAGAGACATGGAGAAGAGGATTTTGTATGATAGGTGACCGTTAACAGAAACTTGCCTTGAAGCCCCGCCTCCTCTTTAAGCCCCTCCTCCAGGGACATAGTGAGCGTTGTGTCTGACAACATGTTGACGGTGACGAGGCGCTCGCCCCACAGCCAGCTGTCGTCCAGGTGGGGGTCGATGGAGGACCCTCGCTGGGGAAGGTATTCCAGGTTGCACTGCTCCACCGGTCTGAAGTCCTCTAACGACGCGTCGCCCTGCATCCGGAGCACCAGAGAGCGGCTCACAGCAGGGAGTCCAGAGAAACTGCTGAGGCGCACCTTCTGCTTCTTGAAGTTCACTTTGGGACCAAAATCCTGCAACGATATACTTTAGTTTCATTCATCAGATATTCATAACAACAACAACCAGAGGGGATTGTGGGATGGGAGACCTGTGATATCCTGCTGATAAAGACGATACTAGGGGACCTTTAAAACCAAACTACACATG